CTCCCGTTTAAATGTTTCCCCGTAAGTCTCCCGTATCTTCAACCTTCATAAAATCAAATAAAAACCTGCTGGCCGTATTTAAAGTGTTTGCTACTCTCCCCTCTGGTAAAGTCAGTGGCAGCATGTAAATGACGTGGACTGTGCTTCTTGCACAAGGATTAAATAAATAAAAACAACCCACTGAAATAAAATTAGGCCAATAGCCTGTAAACCAAATGAATATAATAGCCTGATTATAAGTTATATTAACAGTATAATATGGAATTAACATTACACTTCTATTTAAATCATTTCATTTTCCTTATCTTATAACTCCTCTCTCACAGAACCTGCCTGAGCTTTCCAGAACAAAAAGCAGCTACTGCAGAGTTTATCATTGACTCACGATGCCTGTGCTCCTTTATCTCCGAAATATTGTGGTTACAGACTTTTTTCTTGAAGTTTTTATAGTTGTAGTAAATTTATAAAAATGCTGTTTGTTCAGTTTTTGTAGTTTATTCCACAGGAAAGCTATAAGATGTTGGCAGTAACCAGGCAAAGGTCTCTAAGACAGATTGAGTGGAATTTGTTGCCCATGTTTCCTGGCAGTAAAATAAATCGTTTCATGATACTTTATCATCTGTTAATTTTAATACTTAATACATTGTTTTTAGGACTAATTAAATAAATATACAGTATACTGTATAATGTTACATGATAATAAATAAAAACAGACCCGGTGATCGGTAACAGCCGAAGCGTTTTCATTTGTTAATTAACATTTCTTGGTGCAAGATATTTTTCAGAACATCTTGAACAATTTGCTTTCAGGAAGTGGTGCCTACATGTCCCAGCGTCCCCGGAGTAAACAAGCAGGTCGAGCTGCTCCGGCTCACCGCTTCACCTCCTGTCCTCCTCCTGCTCTCTCTCTCCCTCGGCCCTGTCACTTTACTCCCTGTCTCACGCCTCCTCCTCCTCTGCCCGACGGGGGGGCCACGGCGCTCCTTTACTCCTTCAGGTCCCTGTGCCTGCTCATCGTCTGCCTCTGCAGCTGATGTTGAAGCTTGAAATTTACGTTGCACCGACAGTTTACAGATTACCAGTCCGGCGCCCCCCCCCCCCAGAAAATGAAATATTTCTAACCTTTGTGTTTTTATCTTGATGATTACGTATCAAACTCCAGTATCTCAAAACGTGTTGGAATTTCAGAATAAAGAATGTCCGATACAGAGATGTTGACCAGAGAAGAAGAGCCTTCAATCTGCTAATTAACTGAAAACACCATTAAATGTGTCCTTAATCTCTCAGTCTGGTTCTGCTGCTCACAGTTAACTTCACCACAGTATTTTTATTTTTTAAGACACACTGTTAGAGTTTCGGGGGAACGAGGACGCGGTGCGAGCTGCAGGACAGCTTTCCAGATAAACCTGATATTGAACGGATCATTTCAAACGTTTGTCTCTGAGCTGAATGAGAGTGAAATGGTGTAAAAGAAGGGCAGGTCCAGAAAAATGGTGGCATAGTTGTTAAGGTTTGTTTTTTAGTATTTGACCTGATTCTCGTTGCTGAAGATGCATTTCAGTCAGGAGGGACTGAGGCTAAATATCAGCTTCATGATTATTGTTCAGCACCAAAATACCAAATCAAGCTCCTTGTATATGTAAAACCTGCTCGTCAGTGAGGCTGATCCGGATTCTGAGCTTCCCTGAGCTCTGAAGGTCTGCTGTGGTTTGTAGATGTGAGGACGATCTGTGAGTGAAATAATGCAGCTCTGAGTGTCTGAACAGTTTCTTTGGTCCAGAAAGTTAAAAATAACACAAACAGCTTGTGTGCAGCTCCTCAGCGGTGAACCTCCGGACCTGGCTCTGGTTCCGGACCTGGCTCTGGTTCCGGACCTGCTGCTTCAGCGTTAGCTCGGCGCCCTCTGCTGTGTTGAGGCTGTACAGTAACCTTTCTGAAGGTCACAGTGAGGCCTGTGTGAATGATTAATGACACTTCCTGTCGGCTCGGCGGTCTGAGCTGCTGTCAGGGTGTTGCTGGTGGACGGGGTCCGTATTGATCCGGTGACCCTGGGTCCATTCTGCTGACGGGCTGGGGGGGGGCTGAGTCAGGACAGACCGCAGCAGCTTTTATTGATGAACTGAGACGCTAACAGCTAATCTGTCAATAGACACAGAGTCGCATCTGACCAACGCTGTCAGCGCTCAGACTGAAGAAACCCAGACGGCCTCACTGAAAGTCAAAACTGGAGGCAGAAGAGGCGTGAAATTAAAACCTTCAATCAAGCTTTGACAGCATTTCAGCTTGAAAGCTGCAGTAGTCGCAACAATTGAACCCTTAACCAGAGGTATCGTTTACGCTGAGGACCGTAACCACACAAAAGTTTCCTGAAAATTATTTTGCGCCAAGAAATATTAACTAACAAATGAAAATGCTTCTTTGCACAGTAAGAAAAGATGCATGGCAATTTAAATACAGAAGAAACAAATGTGCATTATTCCAACAACAACATACTGATACTGAAATGAACCAAAAAATGTGCAGCGCTGATCAGTAACTTCAACAACTTCCTGTCTCAGTTTCTTCTTGTTTCAGTTTTCCGTTCCCTCCCTGTGAACATTACAGACAGCTGTCTTGTTTCTTTAACAATAAAAAAGTTTGCAGCATCGAAACAACACGGCAGTTAAACTCTAAAGATAGAACAGAATAGAAAAGCACTTTATTGTCCAGCCAAGGCTGGAAAATCCTCTTTGGTCTCACCAGACCTATAAAAACATCACCATACAAACACAGACATAGATAAACATCATCATATCACATCGCTGCCGTACATCTCTGCAGTTTACCCCACACACACAGGGTACGTTACATTTAGCTGACGCTTTCGTCCAAAGCGACTTTGCCAGAGGTACTCTGTATCGTCGTCCTGAAGGGAGCAGCTCAAACTCAGAATGGAGGAGGCGTTTATTGAGCAAAGTAAAACCTCAGCAAAGTAACCAGACACAGCATCGTTCTTATAAAAGAGACTAACTAAGGGCATGTCATAAGCATATATAAATAGTTTATAATTTCATCTCATTAGTGTGCACAGAGAATAATAATGGTGATTGAACACAACCCTGAGGAGCTCCTGCATTTAGGACACTTTCATCTGATAATGTTCCTCTGACACTCTCTGTCGGCGGTTGGTTAAAAAGTCCTTGACCAGATGTATAAGACCCCCGTTGACGCCTACGTAAATCCAAAAGCCGTTCCAGCAGAATATGGATCTGCATTGCATTAAAAGATGAGTTAAAATCTATAAATAAAATCCGTGCATATTCTGCTGGAGACGACTGGAGAGCACGTTAACCATGGTAAGGGTAGCATCCTCAGTCCCCTTATTTGTTCTGCAACTAAATTGTTCTTTTATGCATGAGGTATGATGTTTGCTGACAATCTTCACCATGCTCTTAGCCAGAATGCGGGTTAAGGCTACAGGGCCGAGGTCATTCAGGGATTTAGACCTTTGGGTAATGGTCTTATGATCGAATATATCCATGTCTTAGGGTACAGCATAGGTATACAGTAAAAACTGGAATAGTCTAGGTAAGACAGTCTTTAGCTGGCTGGCACAGATATGGTTGATTTATTATCTTTAGCTAATATTGTTAACGTAATTCCTTTAGTTATTTACATTACATTATTTCATATTTAAGGGCCGTGATGTTGGATGTTTTAGCGTTGTTTGATTGTTCACTCTCTAGTAGCCCACGCTACGCCCTTTAGTTGTGCCATTATGCATTATTTTTCCCGATCAGACGTAAAATCTGTAAAGATCTACTCTGAACTCCGAACCCCTGTTATATTTCCCTTAATATTTCCCTGAAAAGACTGTAAAAAAATATTTTTTTATCTGAGCCCATATGTCCCCAACACAAAGTGATGGCATTCACGCCTTTTAATGCATGGATGAAGGAATTGTTCTGAGGTTCTTGTTGGTTACATCTGTAACGGTAAAAATTTGAATAAAAAATTATAGATTGCGGTTCACTCCATTTAAAAGACCTGAAACTGGTTCCGCCAAGACTCCTGCATATGTGGGGATGGATGTGAGGTAGTTTAGCTGCTTCAACAGCAGAGCTTCATCCATCCAACGAGAAGTGGTGAATATAATAAAGCGTAACTAAAATTTTAATAAACAGGGTTTGATAAAATACGTTACGCTCTGACGAGGCACCACAGAATACCTTGGTAATCAAGTGCCGACATTAAAGTTGACTGAACAACAGTTTAGAAAATACAGATAGTCTTTAATTCTACATGGAGTTTGTTGAACATGAATCTTGAATGAGAGTCCGTTGACAAGCCAGATTCCCAGAGTATTTGTATGACTCAGAAAAGAGTAATATGAGTATTTAAAGTTTGAATTAGTCAGTGAATCTGGTGGATGTGAAGAAGACCATGTACTCATCTCCATTTAAAACAAGTCTGCAATTAAAAAGTGTTAACTGGAAAGCATCAAAAAAAAGACTAAAGCAGTCAGAGCTGGAAGGGCAAATAAATAGGAGTATCATCTGCATAAAAATGGATACTGAAGTACAGTCGCTAAGTCGCTCTCGTCAAAGCCACCAGACTCCCTTGACAAAAACCAGAATTTTGCTTCTAGCTTCTAGCTGCATGGATCTAAACTATAGACCGAGACAGAGGTAGCCCAGCAGCTCCTGTGTTCTTCAAGGTGAAACTACAATTACAAGCAGAGCCTGTCGGTGGCAAAAACAAGTACTCTAGAGGATGACTGGGTGCAAGGATTATGGTGCAGCCCTGGTTCACTTCTGCCGACTGCAGCACGCTCGCTGGATCAAATTCAAAACATTTTGTGACCCAATTAGTCACAGAGACCCTGAACTCAGCCTTTAATAGCATGTCAAATTGGATGACTTTTAATCCGTAAAATATCTAAATATCTTAATCTGTCGTGTCTTTTAGTTAAAAAAAAAAAAAGAAGCCCAAAACAACTAAATGTTCCTTCCTGTTAACAGCGCTGCTCTACGCCACCATCTTCGGTAACGTCACCACCATCTTCCAGCAGATGTACGCCAACACCAACCGCTACCACGAGATGCTCAACAGCGTGCGGGACTTCCTCAAACTCTACCAGGTCCCCAAAGGCCTGAGCGAGCGGGTGATGGACTACATCGTGTCCACCTGGTCCATGTCCAGAGGCATCGACACCGACAAGGTAACAAACACTTCACGAGCGGCTCGGGTTTAACTGGTGGATTCAGACGACGATCACAGACATGTGGCCTTTTGTAATATTCAAGTACATTTAGAGAGTAAACATGAGATGATGGGATCACTCGGCCGGACTCGTTTAGTGTAGATTGACTGTTGCTGCTTGTGACTCACAGTGAGTTTTCCACAACATTATTCACCATTATCCACCGATCTGCCAGAACATTATGACCACCTGCTGGTCTCTTCCTTGGACCACTTCTGATAGGCACTGACCCCTGCAGACCGGTTTGGAGATGCTCTGACCCGGTTGTCTATTTATCACAGTTTGGTCCTTGTCAAAGTCACTCAGATTCTCACGCTGCCCATTTTTCTGCCTTATTCTGTGGAAACCATATGTTCAGTGTTATTCAATTTCCCTGTCAGTGGTCTTGAAGTTATGGCTGATCGGTGTATGTTATATACAGTTATTATAAAGGTCTGGCTCACAGTCGGAGTTCCACTTCATTCCAAAGATGATGGACGGGTCAGGACTCTGTGTGGGCCAGGTGAATTTCTCTTTACTCAATTAATATGAGATTTTCCTTCTTTGGAACTCATGGTCCTTTTCCACCGCATGGAACCAGCTTGAACCGCTCTTTTTGTTTTTTCCATTGGGGAATCATTGTACCCAAAAACACTGGAGAATCGTCACTATTCACTACATCATCATTGCGCGCACCAGATGGGGGCCAGTGTTTTATATTTTACAGTTTTCATCACTAAATCCACTTCTGAGAAGTTTTGAGGCGAAAAAATGTGTAGATTGTGATAATATTGGCAGTTTTACAAAAACTGATGGCGGACCGAAAATGTGCTTAAATGTTTTGGAGTTGAGGAGCTCCACAAGTGCTGGCGGGGAAAGCTAACGGGCTGGAAGTTTTGTTGCTATGATGGCCAGCGACATTAAGAGGGTACAATCTGCAATGGAAAAACGGAGGACGGCGTGCCAAAAGCGAGACGAGTGGTACCAACAATGGAAAAGTGCCATAAGAGGCCCAAACCAGGAGAAGCACCAGACCAAAAATAAAAACAGTAACATCACAACAGACTTGTCACTCAGCCCCTGTGGATGCAAAGTGTTCCTCTCCTGCCGCTGGACTGGCTTTTATTACTCACTTTGATTCCTTCTGGACCAAATGGAACTTTTTTTATATCCGATAAGCTGCATCCAAACAGGAAAGGAACACGAAAATTTAGTTGGAATCTTATTAACCTGTTGAGCACAGGCACCCTTTTCCAGGAAAAACATATTTATTTTACCATTACAGACTACATACAGGTGCAATAAAGAAAAAATATATTTTCATCCTCGCCTGGTAAAAAAAAAGATTTTAATACAATGAACCATAAAAACCTTCATAAGGAAGCTTATAATGCAACTGAATATCTTCTAATGCACCTAGAATGCAATTGTAACTGTAAATTTGATGAAAATAAACTAAAATATAGCAGTTATCATACAACATTTTCAAGGCGAATGTCCATATTTTGACAATATCTGCTGTTTAAATGTAGACTTTTATTGGGAGTTATCTTTACAACTATTTCTGTCCATACAACCAAGTTCCAAATGACAAAACACTGAAATATTGATATAAACAGTGACTATTCATCAACATTCCTGTCACCAAAAGATTGAGATCCCACAGTGATGAGGGGGCGTCAATCGCCACTAATATATTCATCCCTGTTACAGGATCCAAAACCAACATCTACTCCCAGTCCGCTCAGACACAATCTAATCACAGTTAAAACCACCTCAACGGTCCCTGTCAGGTCGCTGGCAAAAATGTCACGGCGTCATGGCGGTTAGCTTTCCTTCCGCTCACTCAGACGTGGTTAAGTCCAGGTGAAGCGTGTGTTCTTGTCAGCAGCAGGATTTCAGGTGTCGGATGTGGAGGGAATTTTAAACGTTCCCTGAAACTCTCTTGGAAACTTCTCCTCGTTTGAATCGCTTGGTTTTTATGACAAGATCTAACTGCTTCTATTCAGGAATACTCTGATCTTTTAGCTTCTATTACACCAGACTCTTGATCTAAGGTGATTTTAACTTACTTTGATGTGTGCTGCCTCTCTGCTTAGACATTGTGAATTTCCTTTGAGGGTCAACACTTACTTACAGGGACACACCCTGGACACTGTTCTGTCCTCGGGTTTCATCTGTGTGTCGGGCCAGAAAGCCAATATTTTGAAGTCCTCCCACTTCCTGCCCCCAACAGATTCTCTTCTCTCAATACAAACTCTGCTGACAGATTCCAGAAGGCCTTCACTGCATCTGCACGGAGCAATAACCATAAATCAAATCTGTCAACAGGAGAGTTACTAAACAACTTCTACAGTGCATGTAAAGCTGGACACCGTAGCGCCTGGAAAAATCAGGAAAGTCAAAGCATATAGCGACACGCCACGCTTGTTATTGACATTAATCTTTATTGTTGGTGCTATTATATCTTTTTATTTTATTGCTGAATCGCCAGATTTTCTTTAGCCTCAGTCCTGAAGTGTTTTGTCCTGGTTCGGATCAGCGATCAGCTGATAGTTTCAGCCCTCTGATGTGACTGTCTGAAATGAACGTGTGCTGCAAAAAGTTAAATTATCTTTATATTTACTTTTCTGTGTGTATAAATAAACGTTCTTGGTCGCACTTGTTGCAGTAGAAGTAGTTCTTGTCGGTGTCGTGGGACGAAGAACAATATTTCACACCTCTGTATGTTTTTAATAAAATGGGGAAGTGACAATAAATTGAACTTGAACTTGACCTCAGTGTGACCTCTGCGTCTGCAGGTGCTGCAGATATGTCCGAAGGACATGCGGGCGGATATCTGCGTCCACCTGAACAGGAAGGTGTTTAAGGAGCACCCGGCGTTTCGTCTGGCCAGCGACGGCTGCCTGCGAGCCCTCGCCATGGAGTTCCAGACCGTCCACAGCGCGCCGGGCGACCTCATCTACCACGCCGGAGAGAGCGTGGACAGCCTCTGCTTTGTGGTGTCGGGGTCGCTGGAGGTCATCCAGGACGACGAGGTGGTGGCCATTTTAGGTGAGGAGGTTGTTTTTTTTAATGGACGCCTGAAAATGTGCCGCCTCTAAAAAACATCTCCAGGTAGAGTTTAAGTCAGTTTGAGTCAAAAAGGATCAAACACACGTTTCCTGAAGTCGCCTTCCCAGTGTGACTCACACACAGGCCGCTTAAATCCCTCAAGGCGACGGATCAGCGGAGCAGGATTATCCAATCAAAAGGTGCGTAAAGAAAAATGACCACATTTATTTTTATTTATTGAAATCAAATAACAGTATAATAACAATAATATAACGTAGTGATGGCTTTGATAGATCATGTGCGAGCAGATTTACTCCTGTTCAGAGGATTCTTTTCGTTATAGTTAATATAATATGTTTTTTAAATGATCGTGTTTTTTCTAAACCCAGTTTAAAGCCAAATATCCGTGTTTAGTTCCAAAATATTTTTCAGTCCAATAAATTCAGATTTACAACCTGATGAAAGAGAGAAAATGCAGATTCTCACGCTGGAATAAAAATACTAGAAAGGAAATAAATCAGAAATCAAACAATAGAATCAAAGTAGAGCAAACTTAAACCTATAAACCAGTGTTGTATGTTTATGTGTCATACTGTGTTTTCTCTTAAGCTGCTTCTTATTCAGGCATCTCTTGCAAAAGAGACGACGCGACTCCGACTCTGAGGCTGATTGAATAAAATAAAAACCTGGTCAAATCTGACTGTGTGACGCAGTTAAAACGTGTTGAAATGCAGGAAGTCACTGATCCTGTCACGCCACGAAATCAGAACCAGCCTGTCTCTCATCACTCTAAACATTGCTGGAAGGTTTCTTCCAGCTTTAGTTCCCTTCTGTCCCGTGGACGTCCTGCTATCTGTTGTGGTGACGCTGACACTGATATCGGGGAGATTTCCTGTCAGGATCACGGCTCAGCTCTGAAGAACCTTCTGGATGTTGTCCCGGTCGGGCTCGTCCATCAACCCTTCTCTCAGGTTTATAAAAGCTCCTTCAGCAGGAACAGAAGTGTCTGAAATTGAAAATGTCGGCAGCTGACACCACCTCCGCCTCCGGAGGAAACACCTGAGCCCCGCAGAGTCACCTGCCACACAGCGAGACGCTCCGCCGCCTCACATCCAAACCACAAACAAAACATGGTTTCTATTTCCATCAGCGAGCTCCGGGGCCTTCATTAGCAAAGCGTCTTTTTTTCTGCCTGGGTTTGGTGCTTTTGGTTCAGAAACTAACAGGAAGCTGAGCCAACAGCTGTCAGAGTCTTTATGTTACTCACAAAACCTCCCTGATATTCAGCAGGGACTCGGCTCCGTGGATGAATTAACACGAAATGAGTGTGAAACCACATCACAAGTTCAGTTACAGTAAATCACTGGGTTCCTGTCAGCGTCCTGACATGTTTCATTTGGGCGTGCATTAATTCCACTGTGGCTGGTAATTTCAGCATCTTTGCACGCTAACGCGGTGATTACTTTAGAGTCTCCTGGTGAACAGATTAGGGCCGTCACAGATTTTCACTACACGATCGTCACGGCCAAAAGAGTTCACCATAACAACATTATTGAGCTCGCTGGCTCTTCTTTGCTCCCCTGTAACAGCCAGTGGTCCTCTGGAAACTGAAATATAATTATCCGGACGTACACTCAGGGCTGGGCTATAAATCAATAATGACGATTATCGCAATATAATTTTCCTCTAACATTATAACAAAATGTTCAATATATCGTCAATAAATGTTTGATTGAATTAATCTGAATCCGCTCAGTTAAAACTTTATGGATACAGATTAATAACTGCTCTGAAACTCTCGCTCCAGTCCATGTTGCCGAGCCGGTCGGCAACACGTACGGCTGAACCTGAGCTGTTTACCGGCTTCTCGCTGACCCGCCCTGCTCTGCTTCTGATTGGCTAGTAGTCCTTAACTAGGAACTGAGCATGTGCAACTCCCAACAAAGATCATTTAGAGACAAGATGTATCACTCCATAGCTAAAACGAAGCCTTCAAAACAGGATACTTGTTTTCAGAGATGTGAGGTCCTGCCCGCTAACGGGTCCGGCCATCATCAAGTCCGCTGCTGGTCCCGTTGCTGAGTGACGGACTGCGTGATCCCGTTCCTGGTAGTTTGTACCCCCGAGCTGAACTTGCAAAATCCGAACTTGGCGAGTTCGGTATAGAGAAACAGCCCATGTGACCAGGGCTGGGTGGGTCCAGTGGGTTTGAAATTTTTACTGTCCCTCCCTCCAAAAATTGTAATTTATCAGTGTTCCAAAAAAGCCAAAGACTTATAAGTTTTATTACTCTGTTAACATGTTTAGTTGTTTATTAATTTCATTTACTGTTTATTTGACAGGGACAGCGCACAATTAAAATAATTTCACCAGAGCATAAAACACACAAAAGACACAAACAACCACTAAAACAAAAAATACACTTCATCAAATAACAAAAGATTATTAAATACGTTAAAGCTCGTAGCTCCTTTTTTAATGATCAGAATGGACTAAATCATATTTAATATTGGATTTTATTAAGATGTCTGTCGACTGTGGTGGGAGGCAGAAATCCTCTGTTTCTCCCACTCAGCTGATCCTGATATTTAGGGTAGTCGAGTTAGCCTCTGTTCCTGAAGCCGCTGAGAGGAAATGAGCCTCTGCTGAGCCGTTTCTGCCCTTATCTGCTTTTACCTCTAGATAATTACCAGAAGAGACGTTTCATCAGCTGCACTTCCTCTCTGGATAAATATTTAGACTTTCATTGCAGGTCTCTGAGTTTCACAGCACGGTAGAAACTATTTAAAGTGCGTGTTCTCACCTCAGCTTCACTTCCTCCTTTCACATTTAGACTGATGTTTTATGGGAGCAGCTGCAGCCAGCCTTCACTCTGACAGATGCGCGTTTCCTCTGCAGCGCACGGCTGCTTCATTAATATGGCAGCGTTCGTCATTGTGACCCTTCGACACGGGGGAGGACAGAGGTCTGAGGTCAGCTCGGAGGAAGCAGTGAGACCGACACTAACCTTAACGTCGATCTCAGGTGTAGCTTCATTTTAAATCTCCCGCTCTTTCTTGACCATTTTTCCAGTCGTGGAAAACTTGTGAAATGAGAGAGAGTAAAATGTCCTGGAAAATCTTCTGTTGTCCTGTAATATTGTTATGTTGCGGCCCCCCCCACCCTTTTTACCTAATTCTGTTTGGACACGGGGGACCAACGAGTGTAGGACGTCCTCGAACATAATCCACAACGGCTTTGAGTACTTGTTAAAAAGATTCTCAGATAGGTAGGAGCTAGTCCAAGAAGTGCCCTATAAATAAAACACAGCCATGGTTTGAATTACGGGGGGGGGGTTGGGGGGGTTTGACCCCCTAATTAAGGCTTGGACCCCCCAAAAGAGGCAAAACCAACAGTTCAGAGGGGTCTTTCTTACCTGTAATTGTAAATATTACAATATATTTCCCGTACTCATGCCTTATATTCAAGAATCTTGAAGTAGGATTTCTGACACCCCTAAAATGGACCGTACCATTTCCTAACCTTGGCGTCCTGTCTGCCCGCATCAGCTGCTCCAGTCAGAGCATCATACGCTAATGGAGACGCTGTAAGTTAATGTCAGTAGTTATCTAGCTGCTGTAATACACTGAACTTTCCTACCTTCAGAGTTTGTAATTAGCCGGCCGACAGCCCTCCCTGTACTTTCTTTACCAGCGTATCTTTTCATATGTAACTGTCAGCCGACACTTAGGAAACTGAGGAAACACATTCTGACATCAATATATAGAGGTTATTATTTCATTTCAAGTATTCTGTCAGTCTTTCTACAATCAGCACGATACTTGTTTCCACAGGAGTTTTACCTGCTCAGGTGAATGTTAAAATCCAGGTGTGTTGTTTCTCATGTATTCACTTTTATCTATATCGCGCCGATTCATCACAAAAGGTTATTTCATGGCACTTGTTCTACAGAGCAGCTGTAGACAGTAGCCTACTCTGTTTAGCAGTGTTGCACAACTGCTTTATTGAACGCAGATTTCATTTCATTCACAGTCAACATGAGCAAGATGAAAGGAGATATTTGCAAAAAAAAAAAAAGTTGAAATAATAGGAATTAGAGATGATAAGGCAGACTGTATTTTATGATCGTGTCTTTGGTTCTGGTTCAACACTGTGTGGGTCTGTGATTGAGCCGTCCTGATGGGCTGCAGTAGAATAGTGGCCTCTCACTACATGTTATGGAGCACCGTGAACTGGTGCAATGAATTTGATTTATCATCATCCACAGACTGCACACAGTATTAAATGAGCAAGAATATTGTAAGCTTTGAAAGAATTACATTTATTAAGCCCGCGCTGTACTGGGTTTCCTTATTGACCTGGAAAAAAGGTTGACCCCCCCGGTTGTCACTGTATGACTCGCACCCTGAACACAGCCAGCGATCGTACCTTCTTGCGTAGAGAGAGGGGCCGTTGAGCTTTATAGTAAAGGCTACAATGATGTGTCCTATAACTACAGCCAGTTCCAGCTCGAATAAATAAGCATGATTTTGATCTGAAGAGAACGCCGAGCTTTATCTTGAGCTTAGAAACCAGGCTGCTAATGTGAGTTCTGAAACACAGTTTACAATCTGTGACTATACCTAAATATTTATAACTGTGTTTGGTTCAGTTGCTGAAGTTGGTGATTTTGCCTGCAAAGGTCCAAGTCGAGTCACATGGCGATCCGTCCTTGAACCTTTACGGCTCTCCGTACGCTCGTCAAACTTTTGAAGCACTAGTTTATTCATTTAACTCGCACTGTGAAAACAGGTGAAAAGCAAGAAAGTATGAACACAGCGGATTCTTGCAGTTGGCTTGGCCAGTAGTGCGATATTTAAACCTTGCTGTAAACACGACGGCCCAACGCAGAACCCTGTCAGAGTTTCGACAACTCTCATTTGACGGACACCAGCTTTGGCTTTGAGTCCTGCTCTCTACTTTGCCTCTGATTGGCTAACCCTAACCAACCTGAACCAACGGAGGCAACGAATGCTAACCAATCATATTCGAATCATTGTCGAAACTCTGGCCAGGTCACACTTCAGTCTAATACAGACCACACTGAAAGAATCAGGATCGGATACGGGCAAGTAAACACAAACAGAACTGAAGTGAGTGAACAGTAGCGTGCAAATACAATACAGAAACAAATAAGCAAACATTCTTCAGTAGATTAAATAGATACCGTGGCCATTATTTAGAAAGAACGTTTATTTGTAGAACATTCCTGAAACAAGATGAGCTGAACTCGCCACACAGCTGAAGACGAGCTGATGAAAGACGTACAGACCATAAAACTGCCGTCTCTGTGTCCAACATCTTGTTCTCACTAATGAATTAGTACCAAAGTTTACCTGCTTCCACCTGAGGGAGCCTTGTCGCATGTGGACGCTTGGTCAAGGCCCTTTGGCGTCGCTTTTTAAGCTTTTAAGGCTCCACGGTAAAAGTAGCAACACCTAGCAACACCTAGCAACAATAAATATGCAACGTCTGGTTAGACTTTCAAAATAAATTGCTAGCGTTTTGAAACCTCGCCATTTTGAAACGCCACGTTATTAAAGTTGTGAAACGTTGCAGTTTGGTTGGATTTAGGGCCCGTGTCCACCAAAGCGGGGTTTTTTTGACGCCAGCGTCTTTTTTCAACTCATCCCAATGGGAGCACCGCGGTTTTACAAGCTGGTAAAAACGGCAGCAGCATGACGAGAGTTGAAAAATGTTCAACTTTGGGAAACACGCTGCGCTCGTCACTGTCACTTTTTACCCAGCTCTCCAATCACAGTTGAGGAGGGGCGGGACAAATACCACACCGTAAAACAGTTACTATCCCGGCACTGGGCTTCATCCAACCTCAGCTCCTGGTTCAAGTCCGGGTTCTGGCCCTCCTTACTCAGTCTTTTCTGTTAAATATCATGTACCTGCCTTTACCGTAAAACACTGGCGCTACAGGGCTTCCCCCCTGCGTTGACCTGTGACGCTCACGGATCCCCGTTACAAACTGACGCCGACGGCCCTGACCATGCGTCCATATGTGACGCATGGTCAGGTGGGTCATGGTGGGAGTGAGAACCGGTTGGTTTGTAACCTGCAAGGTTTTATCATTAACAAAAACCAACTTAATAATCAAAACTAGGTTTGAGAAAAACTTCTTCGTAAATAGAAATAAAAACAAGGTTTTATAAAAACTTATAACTGAAACCATGTTGAACTAAAATAAACTAAAACTATAAAGCAAAAGTCTTTAGTTTTCATCTTTATCAATGTATTTGAAAGGGCCCACATAAGCCTGGCATGTTTGGTGGATATAAAATCTATCTTCCAGTTTTTCAACTCTACAAGTTTGTCCACGCCCCTCACCTGGCATGATGGCGGCAAAAGTCGAATTCCCAAAGACTAAAACTAATAAAACCTAAACTGAAACGAAGCATTTTCAAAAGATTTAAACTAAAATAAACTTGCAAACCGGCTTTTAAAAAGTCAAGTCAAAACGATCTAAAAATAATAACCTTGTATATAAACCTCACCTGTCCGTGTCTCTGCAGGTAAAGGTGACGTGTTCGGTGACGTGTTCTGGAAGGAGATGACGTTGGCGCAGTCCTGCGCTAACGTGCGAGCGCTGACCTACTGCGACCTCCACATCATTAAACGGGACGAGCTGCAGAAAGTCCTGGAGTTCTACTCCGCCTTCGCAAACCACTTCGCCAGAAACCTGGTGCTCACCTACAACCTGAGGAAGAGGGTGAGTCAGCACGCCGGACACGTGTCTTTATTTCATTTAAACCTGGGTTTACAGCAGACATCACTGTCTGTCAGTTCTAGAGGTAACTGGACAGAGGACGTTTTGTCCGTCAGAGACTTTAGCCTGCGGCTCAACTCGTCTCCACTCGCCTTTTTTCCTTCGGGGACAAATGGTACCTGGTACTTTTTTCTGACGTGAAAACTGTCACGGTTTTGTGGTGAAGACAGGGTTGAGCAGGTTGGAGGACCCAAACGCAGGACACGAAGGCTAGCAGGGGCAGTTCAGTGAAGGGTTTTAATATAAACAAAAGGCGAGCACACTTACAAACTGAGTGGCTGATGACAGAGTCCAAAAAGAAAGGTTGTCTAACAGAAATCCAAAATCCAAAATGAGCAGGGAAACACGACGAGTGAGGCTGACAGGAGCAACACACTGCTACACAGGGTGACAACACAATGATCCGACAAGGACAAGACAGAAACACCAGGTATATATACACAGGGACTAACGAGCAGGGCGGGAGCAACACAGGTGAAAGACATGAGGCTAACGAGACACAGGCAGGCAGAGAGCAGGGGAAGACAGAGACAGACATGCAGAGGGATCACTGGGGTAACATGACAAGGGTTACCGAACACTAGACAAGACAGAGACGGACATGAGTGAACCCCAAAACACAACAGACTATATAACTGATACTGGACACAGGACAGAACCCAAAACACTAAGACATAAACCGAGACACAGGACTGGGAACAAAGACAAAGAACTGAAACACAGGACCAAGAGCCAAGATAAAAAATGAGACATAAACTACTAAGGACAAGGAACGAGAGAAACAGGAAAACAGACATACGAAACAAATGGCAAAACTCAAACTCACAAGGAAGAAACTACAACTCATAACAGAAAACACTGCAGACTGCTGAACGTTAGCTCAGTTTAGCTGCTCAGTTTGTTTTTTAGTTCAGGATTCCTTCGGATCGTTCAGGAGGTTTCTACCTAATAAAACAATAATGATAATTATCACAATATAACTTTCCCCAATAACAAAATAACTAATGTTCGATTTTTTTATTCTATTTAATACATTTGAATCACGAACGAATAAGCACTAAAGCACTTTTCTATTATTATGTTGAGGAAATGGACTGAAACAAGATTTTACTCATCATATTTGTTGAAAACAGATTTTATCAGAATAGTTCTGAAGTTTCTGCCTCAGATGTGTGAAGTGATCCTCTGTTTGTTCTGAGCAGAAAGAAAACATTAACTTTCACTCAGGAGCAAAAATCCACCTTTAAACCTGAAAGAAACGATGATTTACATTGAAGATAATTATTTATATCGAATGATTTATTGTTATTTTTTGGGCTGGAACCATGTGGTATGAAAGGGGCTTAAAACAACACGGAGAAACGTGACAGTGTGTTTGTGTGCGCTGAGCTGAGCCTGTGTGAGATCGTCTTGCAGCTCGCCGCCGCCGTCGCTCTGTCGTCGTCAGGTTTTTTCACACTGAAGACTTTACACAAGCTGCTTTGTTGTCGTCCCCGCAGAGCAGGTGTGGTGTCAGCTAAGCCAACAGTGCGGAGGCGGGTGACGACAGGCCGCCGTGTTCACACCTCCTCCGCCGACGCCACAGACCAACAACACGCTCACTGAGGCTGCAGAGATCACAAACACATCACCGGGAACTCAAATCACCTCGGGGAGCGAACAGAGGCTCACATCCCGTCAGCAGATTAACCGGGACACAGTCACACACCATCGGAAACGCTAGCTCACTGCTAATGCTACCTGATACAAGTTTAATAAACACCAGCAGCAGTTTGATGTTGGGTCTTTACACTCTTCTTCTTCTCTGCTTTTATCAGCAGCAGCTGTTCACCTGTCCTTGAGCCCCGCAAGGTCGTTTTAATAAGCTCACCAGCAATCAATACACTGATTTACAAATTTCATCAGCGACACATCCAGAACTTCTGCTCGTGTCAGAGGGGCGTAAATCCACTTCCTGTTTTCACCCTGACCTCTATCTGACCGTCACATGTGGGTAAATTGTTGCCATTGGTCGGGTGATTGCCGCGCCATCCGCCATAGTGGTGGCCGCACAACAGAAAGCGTATTGTTGCGATGGGCGCACCCGCCTGCGTCACGCACGCAGCTCTGGGAATATCTGTGGCGGCGTTTCTAAGCAGACTCACCAGAGGCGGAGGCCCGGCCCGTCCTGGCTGACGGCCTTTGGCAGGTAACGGTCGAAGAATCACTGATTATTAGAAGCGTCACTCGGTTTTATTTTCATGTGCCAACAACAAGAGACACACCGCTTAAAGAATCCTGAATAGAACGCCAAACGGTAAAGGCTTCAGGTGTGATCTGCAGTACCTGCAGAATGTGTTTGAAAACACCGGGCTGCTTTCTACAAACGTGTACGGCCTCCAACAAACTCATTCTGAAGTTCCACACGCTCGCACAACCACCAACCAATGGACGCTTATTTTGATTTCCCCAGTATCTCCAGGCGGAGGGAAGTCCTGCTCTTCTCATTCAGGGGAATCCAATCTCTTTTTTTCTGTATCCATAACCTCAGTTAGCTTAGCATCTGTTCAAGGTGGGGTGAGCTCACGGCGTCCCGTCCCCGGCGTGGCGCTCCGGATTGAGCCGTAAATAAAGGCGGTGTGGTGAAAGCTTGTGCACACAAAATAAGGTTTTTTTAACCTTATTTTGGGGTAAAGTCATCAAACTGTTTCAGATTTTCCTGCTGATTCTGCAGGTTTTATTTCCCATGACCACAGAAAATGCAGTTCTGGCTTTCTGCCCAGAGAGACCTGATCCTGTTAGTCCCAGATACCTAGAGGCGTCACCAACATGGCTTCCGAGTGGCAGGTGTAGAAGGACTTTGGTATTTCTTTGTTTGCTTGCTGGGATCCAGAAGAGGAGGATTTTGTTGAGGTGTGGACTCTAGGGGAGGTTTGAACGGGGGTAAGGACTCGTTCTTCGGTGGGTTTTGTGTTTGTTGTCGTTGTGGTTGTGATCGTCATGTACGGAAACACATGGGTCCTCGGTGCACGCAAACATGCATGTCATGTTAAACACTGAACACTGAATGACAACATTATTTACACAAAGTGACGCCTGAATTTAGTGCAGAGACTTCAAAAGTGCCGAGTGGCAAAAATAAAATACTTCCAAAACGACCACTCACCCTGGTTGTAAGTGAACGATAGATATCATAACGCAAGCTGAACTGAAAAGGCCTCGTTTGTGAAGTGAGTTTGTGAGTTTTTTTATTTTTGGATAAACTTGAAGTGAAACTAACGGCTGCTTTAAAACCACAGATTGTTCATATTGAGACGGTTTCAGATATCAGAGAGACAGAAAGTCGAGTCAGTAGTGTGGAACAAAATCTCACGGGGACCAGTTCTGACCACAACACCGGGCCCTTTGTTCACATCTAAAACAAAGACTTTTTCTTCAGACAACAACCTGCCATTATTTACACTTCCTCAAAATAGCTTCACTTCTGTAGAACAAAATTAAACAAAACTGGCAAAAAGCAAAAGGCTGTGGAGGTTAAAACCATCCACAGTTTGTTAAACAGGGAGGTGTTCCTGTTACTTTGCCGACTCTCGTTAATAATAATGGGTTAGGGGTTAGTAAAAAACAAAATAATGCCAGAGTTTAAGTTTATTTTCAATTAAATAAGTAAATATAGGAAGTTCAGTAAAGATCTGTCTGGTTTCTCATTTCTGTTCCTGAAAGGGAATCACTGGCTGAATGTTTTCCTCCTGAAGGCTGAATTAATCCTGAGTGACAGATCATTCAGACGAGCTATAAAATACTGTGATGGTTTCCATAAGCTGCTCGCTCGCTCTCTCCTGGTTGGTTATACAGCCTCCCTTTGTCTCTCTGCTGTAAATCGATGAAAGCCATCGTGTCCTGTTCTGCTTGGCTGTGCAGTAATATTGCCACTGAAGAGAAACGACCTGCCAGGCCAGCTCTCACCTCCAAAACCCTCCGACTCCAGCTGAGAGCCGCTTCACGCCACGCTCAGCTGTCGCAAAGGCCGCAACTGACCTTATCTCGCTTAAATTAAGAAAATTCTAGTCTCACGTTCAGCCTCAAGACTTATCTTTCAAAAAACCCTTGTTATTAATGACACCGGTAACTGAACTGCAGTCAGCTTCCCACGCCAGACCCACGCCACGTAGCCAAGCCTCAGTCTACCAACGCCAGACCCACGCCACGTAGCCAAGCCTCAGTCTACCAACGCCAGACCCACGCCACGTAGCCAAGCCTCAGTCTACCAACGCCAGACCCACGCCACGTAGCCAAGCCTCAGTCTACCAACGCCAGACCCACGCCACGTAGCCAAGCCTCAGTCTACCAACGCCAGACCCAAGCCTCAGTCTACCAACGCCAGACCCACGCCACGTAGCCAAGCCTCAGTCTACCAACGCCAGACCCACGCCACGTAGCCAAGCCTCAGTCTACCAACGCCAGACCCACGCCAGACCCACGCAACGTAGCCAAGCCTCAGTCTACCAACGCCAGACCAACGCCAGACCCACGCCACGTAGCCAAGCCTCAGTCTACCAACGCCAGACCCACGCCAGACCCACGCCACGTAGCCAAGCCTCAGTCTACCAACGCCAGACCCACGCCACGTAGCCAAGCCTCAGTCTACCAACGCCAGACCCACGCCAGACCCACGCCACGTAGCCAAGCCTCAGTCTACCAACGCCAGACCCACGCCAGACCCACGCCACGTAGCCAAGCCTCAGTCTACCAACGCCAGACCCACGCCAGACCCACGCCACGTAGCCAAGCCTCAGTCTACCAACGCCAGACCCACGCCACGTAGCCAAGCCTCAGTCTACCAACGCCAGACCCACGCCAGACCCACGCCACGTAGCCAAGCCTCAGTCTACCAACGCCAGACCCACGCCAGACCCACGCCACGTAGCCAAGCCTCAGTCTACCAACGCCAGACCCACGCCACG